GTATGATTTCATTAGTGTATGATCACCTGAATATAGCAATCGTTGTATTTTTCATTACCTTAGAATGAGCAATTTTTAACTACAGACACCGCAGGTTTCCTTCCATGGAGTCTGCCAACTTGAACTATGTCTCTACAGTAGCCCAGAAGGGACAAACCAAACACTTGATGTAGATAAGACCTTTTTTCGCAACTTTCACAGCCACTCTAGATTCTCCTACAGACTTTACAGCCTGTTGTCATTCCCTGCGAGTAGTGTTCAGTTAGTTGCAATCTGAAACTTCACCACAAGATGCCACTAAATCCTACACACTGGTCCTTTAAAGCATTTCCACTTTGTCAGATGAATCTCAGGTTACAACCTTTGATAATCTTCTGCATGTTTCTGCTAGGGTGTCACCTACCCAGCATGCCATGGGATGTGGTCCAAATGGGCGCCACCTCTTGAGAGGAGTCGACTGGCCACAACGTCATTCTGTGGTGAGCAGTGCCTCCGCCTCCTCTGTCAAAATGCTCCAAAATACTCAATGAACGTTCCCCAACACAAAGCTTTCCACTGATAGAAAATCTATTTCTCTCCAGTTTAATCCACCTTATAAGTCATAGCGGGACCGGTCAGCAAATGGACGTGAGAGAGCTTATTTTGTTTTGCAGATTTAGTCCACTGCTGCCTCTATCGAAATTAAAATAACCATGTTGCACTTTATACTGGTACCATGACAACCCATGCATCAAAACCCTCTTGACATTGTCTGTAAATGAACACGGCTCACCTGCGTACTCTAAAGGAGCTTCTCTCTCTCTATTCACCTAAATGAAGTGTCACATTGCTTACTGACCAAAAGCACTCTCATGCTCCCTGCTCTATTCAAAACAACGGTGTTCATGAATCTGTCTGATAATAGAAAACACATTAAATCACCCTCTCTGTCACAGCAGTGCCAATGACCCATTTTGACAGCATTTATTCAATAAAACTATTGTGTTTCTATATGTTTTTGCTTTTATTAAGACAGTATTATACAGTATAGGTTGTTTTTGTACCATTACTACTGCACTGTATCGACATAAAGTTAAATATAGTCTGTTGTAAAATATAAAAAAATTTGAAAGAGACAATTTTATTTGATATATTTACTTAAAATCTGATGTTATTACTGATATAATAATATTCTGACATTAAAATCTGATGTTCTCAGGATCCTATGCAGGAGCAGTGATCGCCATGCCTTTAGCTGGAGTGCTTGTTCAGTATGTCGGATGGCCTTCAGTCTTCTATATCTATGGTAAGACTGACGCTTGAATGGGCATCACAAACATAAAATCACAAAAACATATCAATCACTCACTGTCATAAAAAACAACGTAAAAGTGCAAAACACTGATCTTACCCTGGCTGTTTCATGGCTTTTGGAATAAAACCAGGCAGCATGTACAGGCAATCTAAAAAATACAGGCACATAACCCCACATAAATCCATGACGTGTCGCTTATACACTTCTGTTTTTGTACAGTTCAAACGAGCAACAAACAACATGTTGATCACTAAGCTTTAGAGGTGTTTTATAGGATCTAATATTTACAATTGGACAGAGCCAGAGTAACTTCTTGTTTATCAGACACACATAAAAGTGGAATTGATCTTCTAATCTAAGAAATAATTTCCCAAAATGTTGAACCATTTCTTTTAGGGTCCAGTGATTGGGAGGATCTATTGGCAGAAACAGAATATAACATTTGTGTTAGTTAGTGTATCTGAGTGTATAATCACCTGAATATTGGGATTGTTGTGTTTTTGTTAGTTTAGAATGAGCCCTTTATATCTACAGGGGCCGCGGGTCGCCTTCCATTGAGTCCACCATGTTGAACCTCCATGTTTCAGCAGCACAGAAGAAACAAACCAAACACTGGCACTAGATAGGAGTGTTAGCGTATTTTACAGCCACCATAGTTTATCATAAGGGAAGGGGACGGTGAAGTGAGGGGGTTGCAATCTCCATAATCTGTTTTTTGCCAATAATTCAACACCTTGCAATGAAGTTTCTTGTCATTTTAACAAATAGATGTAAACCTCAAAGTATCACATGCATTTTATGTGAATAAGAAAACATATATTATTTAAACAGTGTCATATAGGATGTTCGTCAAGCGCTGAGTCATTAAATACTCTGGGTGTCAGGTTCCTTGCGTGCAAAGTGGTTTTCACAATCCTTGACAGGCATGCTGCTCTGTGGTGGTTGTACTTTGTATGCTCTGCACAATAAAGGGTTATCTGAATTGCCTTAGAGTTTGATTAAAATGATTAACACTGACATAAATTTCATACTTTGCCAAATGTGTTTTAATAAAAATGTACTCTGGTTCTGATGCGATATAATCTCATGATTTATTGATGTAAATTAGCATTATCCTGTCTGGGCTCTGTGACTCATACCTTGTTCATTTCATTTTAATAATGAAATTCTTGTGGTCCAGAGAAGGTCGGGGCTTGTCTTAATTAGTCTGTCCTGTCCTCAAGCTGCTCGTCAACGCTCCACAAATTCTTGACTACAAATATAGACATCTTCAAGTGTATATGTACAAAGGAACTAATTCACTTTCTATTGTTGTCATTTCATTAAAAGGTGTTTTGGGGATCCTATGGTATGTCATGTGGCTCCTGCTGGCATATGGAAGTCCTGCTGAACATCCCACGATCACCGAGGAGGAGAGGATATACATCGAGACCACCATCGGTGAAACAATGAAGCAATTGAGTGCGACTGAGGTGTGTATGCGTAAAAAAAGCAGCCAGTTTCAGGGTATCACACAAATACATACACAAACAAACATACACAGTATAAACTGGTTGCATTGACTGTCTCCCCAATCACAGAAATTCAAGACTCCGTGGCGTCGTTTCTTTACCTCCATGCCCGTATACGCCATTATCGTGGCCAACTTCTGCCGTAGCTGGACCTTCTACCTGCTCCTCATCAGCCAGCCAGCGTATTTTGAGGAAGTCTTTGGCTTCCCCATCAGCAAGGTTGGCCTCACAGTCTCACTACAGCTATTCTAATTGACAAATATCCATAAAGATAAGACAATTAATCCTTGTACTGATTTACATTATGGCTTCCTGAATGAATGGTCTCCCAACAGGTGGGCCTCCTGTCTGCTGTCCCCCACATGGTGATGACAATTGTAGTACCTATTGGAGGACAGCTGGCGGACTTCTTACGCAGTAACAAGATCATGTCTACCACCAATGTGAGGAAACTCATGAACTGTGGAGGTACGTCACGGTGAACTAGAAGCAATAGATCTTGTCATTCTATATCTTGATACTGGAAGGCCTGGTTTTACTGTATTATGCAGTTCCTCCAGAAAGTTGCAATGTTGTGATCACAAATTCAGCTGATCCAACTAACCAATCATTGTAGTTTCCTGCAAGTTTCACCAATTTATAACCAATCATAACAGTCCCCTGCGCCAAACATTGAATCATATGTCACCAAACTACTAGTATTTACCAACTACTATTTTATTCTCGCTGGAACAAGTTACTTTTTTTGGGAAAGTTACCTGGAGGGACTGACTTTAAAAACAATCAAGTAGTGTATTTGAGGAGACATTTCACCACCAAACAGTATTATAGATGATGTTAATTGTTTCTGCTTTAAACACTAAAGTAACATTATATCATGTCATAAGCTCCATATAGCAATTAGCCTCTTGAGCTCTCTTAACTTCAACTGGTGCTAAATATTTCTATTGGTTTAAAAAAGAGAAGCCATATCAATTCAGTTTTAAAAACTCAGATTTATTTTGTCAGCTTATCCTCTGCTGAACATTTTTTAATTTCAGGAGCTGTACATGTTATGTTAACATTATTCTAATGTTAATATTAATATTAATATTAACATTAACATTAACATTAACAATATATTAATATATATATTAAACATATTTTTTAAAACAGCCCTGCAGGACCTTTATTGTAACTAATTACTCACAGATTATTTAAAAATGTGTATCATGTTGTTTCTTAAATAAGCTACTGACTCACTTTCTCTGGTCCTGTATTTTCACAGGATTTGGTATGGAGGCTACTCTGCTGTTGGTGGTTGGGTTTTCTCACACTCGAGGGGTCGCCATCTCCTTCTTAGTTCTGGCTGTGGGGTTCAGTGGATTCGCCATCTCAGGTATTACCACATCTGCACCAAAGAAACATCTTCGTCAGGACTGCACGACTCATATTGCGATTATTTTGTGTGGGAATGATAATTTTTGCATCACAAATGTCATTTTCACTGATGATGTGACATTTGTTCGGGTCTGTACCAAACACACATGTTTTCTTACATCTGCAGAACTACAGTACTTCATTATAATGCTGTTTGTCACACATTTTACCTTTATCAATAAATTTCACATATTGCATTTGGCCAAATTGGGATTTCGGTAATATTTCAATTAATTGTGCGTATAATCTGCAATTGAACACTTTTAGTTTTCTAGTAGACTGAACACTAAACATCAAAAGACTGTGTTTGAAACCTGTGTCAGTTGAAAACGCAACGCTCAGGATGTTGCAGATAAACTTTTTTTTTTCTTTTCTCTGTGTTCTCCCATCTTTTAAATTATGAAAGACTTGTCGGAAAAATGATATGCAGTACTACTTTTCCTTTGGCTGCTATGCAGTATACATGCATTAGCCTGCCAGGCCTTCGCACAGGCACTTCTGCTGAATATTTTATAGACTGTTGTCAAGACAACCAAAAAAAATCAAAAGAAGCGTGTAGATCTAAAACAAAATATTAAAAAGGCAAAACAATCAATGGAATTCATTTTGTAACTGGATCACTCTTTGCTCATAATCAAATGTTCTTGTGTGTCTTCAGGTTTTAATGTCAATCATTTGGATATTGCTCCTCGCTATGCCAGCATCCTGATGGGCATTTCTAACGGGGTGGGAACGCTATCTGGAATGGTGTGTCCTTTGATTGTCGGAGCCTTGACTAAACACAAGGTATAACAGGTTGATTACTAACACTAACTGTTGTAGATATACATTCATACACTGATTAGTTGTCTTACCAGTTATTCATCTTTTTGCTGTTGTCTTGCCTTCGATCATCTCATATTCTGTTGAAATCCTTTTATTTATTTTTAATTATAAGTGTATAAAATATCACAGGCAACTCAGAAAGAGTGTCTTCACAGAGGCTTTTCCCTCATTGTATTTTTAAAACATATCAGGCTTGCTTTTTAGTCACAGAATCACAGTGTGAATCTTGCACCTATAATTTATAGCCCTGTAAAATTTATTACACACATTGCAGCTGTAGTTCTTTCACTGCCATGAGTAAGGCAGTGGATTTACAGTGTTACCTCAGTGGTACATGACTGACAGTAAATTCATTGACTCTATTCATCTCCCCACAGACTCGCCTGGAGTGGCAGAATGTCTTTGTTATTGCGTCCATGGTGCATTACTCAGGGGTCATCTTCTACGCTATCTTTGCTTCGGGAGATCAGCAGGAATGGGCCAACCCTGAAAGCACCAGCGAGGATAAATGTGGCATTCTTGATGAGGACGAGCTGGCTGAAGAGTCTGAGCTCAACAGCGAGACCATGATTGCTCCCAAAAAGAGTTACGGAACCACAGACAATTCATCTGGTCGAAAACAGGGCTGGAAAAAGAAGAAAGGGGTGACCATGCAAGAGGAGGAGGAACATTATGGGAATGGCGACCACCAAGACAGGTACCAGTGAGACGCCCTGTGGGGCGAAGAACTTCCAAACACTCTAATCTGGTCAAGGCTGAAGGTTTTATTTCACACCTGTGAAGATGTCAGAAACATCGGAGAAGTGACAGAAGCAGCAGCAGCATCATTATGTACCTCAAGATGGCCCCTTTTTCAGTTTTGGTCAGTACTCCAGTTTAACTGAGGTGTACTGTCACGTCCGCAGAACAAAATCATCTGGAAACAAGAAAAAAATAAAAATGCTAAAAACATAATTTCTATCAGAACTGGAGCAAAACAAGAGAAAGATATAAACAAATATATAACTAGAAATTTAACTAGAAATTTAATCTACACTGACATATACTGTAGACTACTAGTATGAATAGTACAATGGAAACTAAACCACAGACCATTCATGAACCAACTAGTGCTGTGCTAAAAGAACATCAGAAACACATATCAACTTTCAAACCTGATCGTTCTCCGTCTGTGCGAGCAAACGTCGACTGAACTTTTACGTAGATTACTTTGAATGTGCACAGTTTCTTGAAATGTTTTGCGTCAGCTATGCAACGTGAAAAGAGATCTGCTTCTGGAATGTAATAATGGGTTTGACTGCAGACCACAGTGTTAATGTAATGAGCCTTATTGTTTCTTTTTTGCTTGTATGTATTTGCTGTTGCTAAATGATTGCACTCTGTCTGCTGCTTAGCTCGCTCTCCTTTGTCTGAGCGGTCTTTGTTCACCATCCATTTGTAATGCACTTCTTCCAGCATTACATCATCATTTGTAGTGCTCTGAGCTCATAATGGGATGAAATGGATGGTGACTTCAGTGCCGACGTTACTCCATGAAGCATTTAGTGTAACTGTATTTATTCTTCTGGTGTTTGTCTTTTTTTTGTTGTTGCAATTTCTCAATGTTTGATACATGGAGGCCCAGTTTGTTTCTATAAATAATGTACTGTAATGTTTCGCTTTAATCATAAAAGAGTATGGCAAATTTACACTCACTATTTATCATTACTGCTAAAGAATAGAACATCAGTTTTGTACAGTAAATTATCTTTCTCTGTTTGAGAAACCATTGATTTGATTTGCACTTTACTTGAACACACTGGAGATGTAATTAACTACATTTCCATTCTGTATTAAGATTGTTAAGAAACATAAAATCCCTGAAGAGCTTGAAGATTTTGAATTATTGAGTACTTTGCATGAGGTTATTCAACATTTCGTGTTGCTTTGTGTATTCAGAAAATTATAAAACTAATTTATCATCAAATTGTAAGTTGTTCAGAGTCCACAGCCATAGGTTGCATCCCATGACAATCATGAACATGCCCAGTATGTAACAGCAGGAATTGACACCATTGTTTAATAGACACAAATGATCAATAGTTGTTTTTATAAATTAATGTATTATTTATTTCAGGAATATAAATGTACAGGAAAATATGAATGTACAGGAAAAAAATCTTTGAGTTCCACCTGAATTTCTCATATGAGTCTTTTAGAGGAACCGAGCTCTCCTTAACTCCCCCGTATTTTGGACCCTGTTTAGCAGGTATAATGTTTGCCATGTTCTCCATCTTAGTTTAGTTAGCATGCTAACGTTTGTTAATTCGCACTAAACACCTGACAGCCGAGGCAGATGGGGATGTAATTCATTTTCAGAGGTGGTAGTACACAACTTCTGTACTCAAGTACAGTCACCTGTGTAAAAAAATACTCTGGTAAAAGTATTGTAGTAATTGAAACTTCAAACTGGATTGAGTCTGCCTCCCTCTGTGCAATGATGCAAAATACTAATTGAAAATCAAATCAAATGCATCAAAACTAAAGTAACAAACTTGTTTTTAAACTTTTAGGAGTATACAGATACCTGAAAGAAACAGTACAGTAACACCCTATCTGTACTTTGTTACTTCCCAACTCTGTTCATTTCGCAGGTATTTGATCGTAAATCAAAGTACTGGATCAACTGAAACTTTAAACTGATATGGTTCTTGATGAAAAACAAAAATCAAGTTACTACAATTCATAGATGAACATGAATATCTGGACTGAATTTAATTTTAGTCCATTCAATATTTGTCAAGAGCTTTCACCCAAATCCAGAAAAGCCAACCTGCTGCTGCGTTAGAGGAAAAGTCAGGGGATTACCAAAGTCTTCTGTAACTACTTGTCAGAATAGGATGTCCTTATGCTGCGTGTTTATGTTAGTGGGCTCAAATTGGACATTTTTAAATATTCCAAAGACTGCTCTGTTTCCCATCACACTGTGGTAAACATCCTGTCTTATCTGCCTTCACCCGCCTGCTTCATTTTCACCACGGAAGATAATTACTGGACAGGATATTCCTCGCCAGTGTCAGACTCACTTCTCCAAAACTGCCGCTTGAAAAGATAACAGCTAGAAGGAGTCATTTTATTGTGAAATAGATATTTAACACTTTAACACACTAAACCGATGCCTTTTATGCAAATTGTTGAGTCTAATGATTGTTCCCTCTCGCACGCCGATGAAAAGTTTCAAGGTTATGGACTTTGTCGCCGGTCGTCCTCGCAGTGCTACAAGTCCTTGAGAACATGTGGGATATTATGTCACTTTCCAGGGTGTGCTTCTGTTTTTTCATGCGTACGTCACTGACAATAAGGTCAGTCTGGAATCAGTAACAAAACACCAAGGTAAAACGCAACACCCAATATCTGTTCTCACATGAAGAGAGATATGTAAAATGTGTTTAAATGAACATCAGTACTTTGACTACTGTACATGTAACTTTTAAATACTTGTGTCCGTTCCTTCCCAGAGACTGCCAGCTCATTCCCTACATGCTCTCAAACACAGACCAGATAGTCCACAAACAGCCGGCAGCCAATGGCAAAGGTTCTGTTTATTTCAGAGAGACTGTCTGTTGATTCAGAAGGGCCTCTTTAGATGAAGCAACATCCCATCAATGATTAAACTTCTGGTTTTTGGACAAAAGGCTCATAAAGACAAGAAGAATTTGATTTGTATTCATCTTAGAGTAGGTAAAGACAACAGAGCAGGTACACTGAGGTATGAAAGTGATAACATACACAAATCTGGTGTATACTGCACATTGCAGGGACATGATAAAATGGATTCAATCAGCTGCTTTAAGAGTTCTTTTATGATAACCTACTTATACAAAAGTCAGTGTAGAAGACACAAAAACACCACGATGCTCTGTTTTCATTAAAAGATAAAAAGAATATTTAAACTGAACATTTCTACTCCGCTGGCTTGCAGTATTTGCTAATGACTGGTTGAATGCTCTATGTGTGATGTTTGTGTGGGTGTGTGGGTGGGATTTTTACTCTGCTGGAGAATTCATGAGGCAGCCTCTTGTCTTGGTGAGATAAAGAGGGATTTTTTTTTGGGGGGGGGGGGTGACATGGACAGGAATGGACAGTTTAATTAATAACCACCATCCATTTCTCCCTGACCTCAACTGGTCACACATGCTCTCTCTGGAGCCCAGACACAGGCAGCTTAATGTTCATTAGCAAATATTGATTGAGCTCACAGTGTGGATCTCCGAATCGAGGCTGAAAAAGAGGAAAGTTAGCAGGCAGGAATTCAACATTCACTGACTAGGATATAAGGTAAGAATTATGAGATCAAGTCAGGACACATTTCACGCTCACCGGTGTACAGGTGACTTTCTTATGAGTCCGCGGTGTGCCACTATGTCTGAGGTACGTTCGGCTGTTGTGTGGGTTGTGAGAGGCGGCTGGACGTTTCTGAGTCCTTGTGGGTTGCTTTTGAGTCTCAAGGGAAATTACGCTGAGTTAATTACAAAAATGTGGCCGATGAAGTCTATAAAAGTTATGTTTCACATGTGACACATTTTGTCACCTTGACACCAGAAAGGCAATGTACAGGTTTAAAAACAAAAGTGTGTTATTCATGAGATACCTCCAAGCTCATCTAGTAAGGTTTATCCATATCATTAAATCTAAGAGTGAAGCTTGCATATATTATGTTTAGTAAAACAACACGGATCTGGAGATACACCCTGTCAAGTGAGCCCCTAACAACACAGGAGGACATGAAATAACTGTTCTGACATGAGGTAGAAAGAAAAGACTCTTCCCATGACTTGTTCTTCAGGAGGCCTTGTTGTTGTGGCCTGACCTTCATGCCTCACCTCCCTGCAGGAAAGCTACTGAACATCTCTTCCCTGTGTGGGAGAGAAGAACTGTCAGGTGCGTTGATGTAGAAACTCCTGTGCTGATGTTTAATTACATTGTGGTGCAGGTTTCATAGGATCCTGCAGACCTGCATGGGCGTTCAAGAGATCCGCAAGTTCACAAATCACACTATTTTTATGCTTGTTACAGACATAAACAGAGGCTTGCTACTACTTTGTGGCCCAGTCCAACCTGTGTTTTCTGAGTTGGTGCCTGACGACCCTCCTGAATGAATGAGTGGGTGGGCCCTGACATCGATGTGGTGGGACCGCTGGAAATCCCACCCAGCGATGAATTCTCCATCTCAGAGAGCTCCCACCTGTTCGGTAAGTCTACATGGCAGGAACCAGCTCACAGAAAGAAATAACAAGACCCACACAGTGGTGCTGTGAGCTAAATGCTAGCATCAGTATGCTAACACACAGACACAGAGACAGACAACATTAACATGCTTATGTTTAACAGACATAATGCTTACCACGCTCACTATCTTAGATTGATTTAGTGCGTTACTGTGTGAACAGCTGATATTTAGTACTAAACATAGCTGAAGTTTATGGGAATGTAATTTGTTTTGCAGGTAGGCTATTGGGCTTAAACCAAAGAATTGGACAAATTGAACCTGTTGATGGTGCTACAGTGAAGTGATTACTAAACAGTTATTAAAGCAGTTATTGATCCTGAGTGCAGTGCTGTAGTCAAGATCACCACCAGTTCAAGACCAGGACTAGTTAATACTGAGTCCAAATGAGAGAGGTAAAGGCGAGAAAGAAAAAAATGAATGGTTTTGTCAAAGAGATGCGTTTTGGCAGCCAGTGACATTGATTGGTTAGCAGTTCTAGATGGATTTTGAATTAAACCAATACCCATTTTTGAAACAAGAGCACTTCATCAATGGTTTTGTTTTAAAGGAGGAAGTTACTTCAGATAAAAATCATGTTTTTCTGGACTCTAGAACATTTTGCGAGACCAATGGCCAAGTTCAAGACAAGTCAGAGTGCAAGTAGTCACTAGTGTGAGACAATAGACAAAACATACAACTCGAGTTCACACTCAAGTACTACAGCAAGGCTGCTATAAATACCTGTACCAAATGTCATGGCAGCCCATCCATTTGTTGAGATAATTAAGTCTGGACCAACATTACTTTATTTGCTATATTTATATATTCATGTTTTTGATTAACTAATAAATCAAAAGTAAATATATTGATACCTTATTACAAAAGGGAAAGAAATTAGAAAACTAATCCAATAACAGCAGTTTTAGAGTGTCGTCGATCAGTGATTAGAATTTGAAAAATTAGAAATTATGATAAAGGTACAACAATATATAGATTTATATTTACATATTTGTGTTTAGTGGGAATATAAACATGCAGATATGATTACAGTTTACAGTGTGGTGTGAGACTGATCTGCATTTTTATTGTCAGAACAACCAATCAACTACCAGCTGATTGTACAAGACACTCCTCCTGATCTGAGTGGGTTGAAACAACACGTGTTGTACTTGAGAGTGGAAACCAGTTAACAAGCGGGCAGTGAAGTGAAATAGAAAGCTAAATATAACAGATACATTATTTAAATGTGAGCTTCTGTCACCACAAGTGGAAACTTGACTGAACCAACTGAACATAAAAAAAGGAGCCAGAGCCTAATTCCAGGATCCTCGTGTGCCATGAACTTGATCTACTTAATTATGTTAAATAATAGTAATTTTAAAATAGATTGAACTAAACACATTAGAATATGGCGACTGGTTATGGGGAGGAGGTAACTTGTCTGATCTACAAAGTTTGCCAACCACTGCTCTTCATAAATCCTGATATCTACAAAGAGTTCACCTACTGTAACAAATTAAATCTTACATCTTAAAGTAAATATAAACAAGAACGCACCTACTAAAACTGTATGGATGTACATGTACCTCCAGGTAACTGCATGAACCTCACCCCCATGTCTGGACACTCACATACCTAAACAAGACCACACAGTAGCGCTCAGCTGGAACCAGATCTGGAAATTACTTACACACATTAGCCAGCTACTTGTAATGATGTAAAGAAATGTGACTGTGTGGTTAATGAGTAGCTGTGGGCAACCTTTGCCCCCCCCCCCTTGGGATTTCTCAAGCAACTAGTACTTGATCTCCGTCTGTAAAGGAAGGTTTCCCATCAGAAGACATAAATGGAAGATGATTTGTTAGTTAGACGCCTCAGGACTGAGCTACAAAGCACAGCTGGACTGTCAGGTTAAGAAAGTGAATTTTCTGAATAGTTTGTGTCTTTGGTCACGCGGAAATGGCCATGGTCCAGACCAAGTCTTCAAGAGGTCAGTGTTACATATACTTTACAGATGTTGCATGAGTGTTGAGTGTGTCTGTTTACTTTAATAACAGATTTGAATGTCTGACAGTATTTCAGTACAGTTGAGGGATTATTCTTGTGGACTACACATGGTGTTTGATCTGGTACTCATCACCCCTTTGCTGTTTAAAAAAAAAAAAATACCACACTTGCTCTGGAAATCATGATGAAACAACAGTGTAATCCCTGTTAAACACTCCGTTTCAAACGTGTCAACTTGTTTGGTTTGGAGTTACATGTAATTCTAAAAGACACAGTGTGCTCTGTGCAAGCGAGTTGTTAATGATTTATGGATTTATAGTATGTGTTGTGTGGGTTACCGACTACTGCTGAGAAAGTTTCTGTTCTAACAAGCTACTCCCGGGAAGCACTTGAAAGTTTTTCCTTATCAGAAATGCACTTTAATGACAGGAGGTATCATGTTGCAGCCCCTGAGATAAATTTGTGATTTTGGTACATGAAAATAAAAGTGACTTGGTTTGACATTATTCAAAGTGGATTTCCTTTGGTAACTTACTGCTTCTGACACTTATGCTTCACTATTAAAGGTCCAGTGAGTACAATTTAGGAGGATCTATTGGCAGAAATGGAATATAATATGTAGCAGAGCCTTTACAGTGAGCCAACAGGTACATCAGCAGCACCCTGACTCTGTTAGACCTGAATGGAACAAGACCTTAATCAAAAAGTAAAATATCATTGGTGACACATGAGCTTACCTCACTATTCTGACAAAATGGCTTCCATGAAAATGGTCTATTAGCGGCTAAAGAGCCAGATATTTCCCTTGGAGTTGGACAGCTCAGAGATAGTTAATATTGGACTTATCATTCATCAGCTGGCAAGAAACACAACAACCTCTTAAGGTGATTAGACAGACAGACTCAGACATGGAGATTATTCTGTCATTATTTGGTTCCACATCTCCATTCGCCATGTTAAAATGTCTTAAATGCTTTATAATCCCTCTCCTATCCTAGATATTCTGGCAGACCAAGGCAGTCCTCTCCTTCAGGATCCTGACATCTTACCATTCACCAGCCATCCCAGTATGCAGTACATGTCCATGGAGCCAACCATGTCTTCCACACCATACTACTCCAGTCAGAACTACTACCCTTCGTACAACGGAGACGAATGGTACTCACACACAGGGATTTATGAACTGAGGAAAGGACCCCTGGAGGTCAGCTATGATGCTGAGATGGAGGAGGTGTCCACTGTCGTGCCCGCCGTGTGCAAGAGGACCCGGCACATGCCGCAGGCTGGAAGGGTCAAAGGGGAGGAACTGTGTGTTGTGTGTGGAGACAAGGCCTCTGGATATCACTATAATGCTCTCACCTGTGAGGGATGTAAAGGTGAGAGAAGATGACCTTTGTTACCTTAGAATGAACCGTTTATGTCTACAGACACTGCGGATCGCCTTTCATGGAGTCCGCCATATTGAGCCATGTTTCTACAGTAGTCCAGAGTGGACAAACTAAACACTGGCTGTAAATAGGGGCCTGTTGCAATCTGACACTTCACATGCCAGATGCCACTAAATCCTACACACTGGTTCTTTAATTGTTTAACTATTACTACTACTGCTGTGCATTGTGGGGCAATGCCGTTGATACCATATTTAATTACGTGCAGTAAATCCATGCAATCAGTATATATAAGCTATATATATATATATATAAGCTCAGGTCAGAGTTCTTGAGCTGAAGAAAAGATTGAGGCTGATCTAAAGAGAACAAAGGATATATGAGGAAATCTTTTACGCTTTACAACCCTTCTCCATGTAAAGATTATCCACTTGCTGACAGTGGAGTCGTGGCCTTTAGCAGCTTCTTCCCATGTTTTTATGGCACGGTGAATTTGCTGTGATTCCTGCCAAACCACAGGGTGAACGGGTATGAGTGTAATTCCACACTGTGAGGCTGGACAATGCCAGGAGTGCAGCAGCTGGCTTGTACTGCCATTTGACTGAGAATAGGCTCAGGTCTACATGGTACTGCTGCCAGATTGGGTTCCCTCTCAGCTTTCTGCTGTACAATGCAGGAGCAACCTGAGCTCAGTTACGCTAATGCATGCTATTCTGCTTGATGTTCTATGTCAGAATGTCTAATAACCGTTCCAAAGTTATTCTGTGCTCGTGTGTGTGTGTGTGTGTGTGTGTGTGTGTGTGTGCGTGTGTGTTTGTGTGTGTTTTGTTCTGTTGCTCTCCCTGTTCTTTAATGTTGCCAGCTGGGTTCTCTCTGTGACATTATTAGAACAGTGTGTAACCTACAAATTTCATTTCTATCAACTTGTCGCTTATCCTTTCTGGTCAAAAAAGCTCAGATACCTTTACTTATGTAAAAGTAGTAACACCAAAACTCCTGAATGTCCTGAATTCAAAGTTTGGCTCAAGTTAAACTGCAGAAGGATTATCTACAAAGTGCTTTTAACTCAAATGACTTTATGTAATGTGTGAGGATTATTACCTGACTCTGCTGTCCCCCTTAGTGCTACAGAGCATTTTAGTGTCTTATTTTAGTTTGCTGTCCTGCGACTTTAGTGTTTTGGTTCACTCAGACAGCTCTCATCAACGTTGTCTTTAACTCCCCTATACACTAACATCTCACCACCAAAAGACAAACAAACTCAGTTAGAGACAAGCTGGTTAATCAGGTGGTCAGGACACATCTTAAATGAATAATAATGTAGCTCTGTGTATGCTGAATGTACATGCACAAATACATTCCTAACATGTTTGCCATATCAACGTAATATGTGATAATATGTTGTGCTCACAGCTTGTTTCTGCTGCCCCAAAATGGCCAAAAAGCCCCAAATTCTGTTAATGCAGATGTTTAAAACTGATACAACTCAATATCCAGAATGGATTCTTTCAGACATCTGTATTATAATATATATTTGTATCACTGTTATTATCCCTGATATATTTTTGTGTAAGCAGCCATTTACTGTTGCAGTTGGTCGAGGTGGAGATAATTTACATGACTTTCTATAATGTTTTATAAGCATCATATTTATTAGATAAATGTGTTTTTCGTAGAACTGTAATCTGCAGTGTTACTATTATACTATAGCTGGCATTAAATGTGGTTAGAAAAATGTGTACAAAGTAGTACTGGAGCAGAGGTATAAAGTAATATTAAATGGAAATGATTAGGTAGTAGTACTTTGAAAAAAATGACTTTAATACTGTACTTAAGTGAATATATGTAGTTATTTTCGACCACTTTATTCCAGTCTGACCCAACAGAACACACTGCATGTCTATAGTCCAAAATGTCTTGACTTTGTGTAACACCATCTTCTGTACCTGGCTCCCGATAATGCCTTATTTTCTGTCAACCTTGTTCAGGTTTTTTCAGACGGAGCATAACAAAGAACGCAGTGTACAAATGCAAGAGTGGCGGAAACTGTGAGATGGACATGTATATGCGCAGGAAATGCCAGGAGTGTCGGCTAAGAAAGTGCAAGCAGATGGGCATGCTGGCTGAATGTGAGTATCACTGATTGTTAAGAGACTCTGGTTCCTGTTCCTGCTGACAGGATGCAGAAACAATCAGTCAATCAATAAGATGGAGAGGGAATGAATTGTGGGCATGTTTCTACTTACTATCATGCATCAATAAAAAAAACAAACCTATACCGTCCACACGCACACACCATGGCTATTTAATAGAGTCAAGAGAGGCTGTCAAAAGCTGCCGTGGTGAGCCCTCATTTTCCATTCTGACATGGCCTGTTGCATTTTACTGGGGGATTGAATGTCACATATCACACAATACAAAAGGTCCAGGTTCAGTTACTGTTACAGGAATAGAAGCAATTAAACACACCTTAAGCTTCATTAGGAAAAATTAACAGCTTCAAAGTGTCATTATACTCTTTTGGCTGTTTGGGAATAGTCTTCTGTATTTCCATAAGCAGAGCAAACCTCATTGTGAAGACAGAACTTGTAAATACGAACATGTACTTTTAGAGTCTTCGGAGGATTATTAGTTATTGGGTCTATTAAGAGCTGTCAGTTGAAAAGAGCAGGAGAACCGACTGGACTCCTGTTGCTCATAAATAGTGCAGGGTAGTTGTGATGAATATTGCAAGGTGGCAGGCATTCATGACTCTCCCAGCTGGTGCAATAAGAGCTCAACAAATACGACTTTTTTGGTCATGGTGTGAAAAGACAGACACTAATTCACCAGAGAGGTTGATTTCTGTCCTTTTTCTTTGATTACCCACCTCTCCTGTCCTCTCAAGAACATTAATTCATTCATTTTTTCTGATTGAACTTACAAAGTCAATAAGGAATGTAAATTAATAACAAGGTTTTACATGAATGTATTATTGATGGAAAAAGTTATCCTGATAAGGATGGTAAAGTGAAAATATATGAATCGAAAATGTCGCCACTGCAGCAGCAAAAGTAAAAAAGGCACTAATAGAAATGCATAATCACACTATAAAATGGAAGACAATAAATCAATTAAAGGAACAGAAACATATATGCAGAGATTTAAATGTAAACTGTGACTTAAGGATCACTGACATGTTACAGTGGATATGATATATGGTGTTAAAATATGAAGAAAATTACATATAATTAGGATTCTCACTATTAGTATTGGCACTAATATTAATTACAACTTTAATACAGCCTCATTATAAATTAAAATGGACATTTACAAATGTTGTTGAATAAAGCGCTGTGAGGTATTTAACACACATAGTGAAGCCTTCATCACCGCTGGCAGGCCTGCTAACAGAGATCCAGTGTAAATCTAAAAGGCTGCGAAAGAACACCAAGGCCTCCCCGGGACAGTCAACGGGAGACGAGACAGAGGGGGCAGACAACACAGACAACAAACAGGTCACCTCAACCACCAAGCTGTCAAAGGTAATCACAGTTATTCTCCAAAATATACAATTATTTTATATAAACTCTAAGAAACGTGCCACCATGTAATGATGTGTTGCTTTTGTTTTCTGTCTGTATCCAGGAAAAAGTTGAAATCACCAAAGAGCAGCAGGCACTCATAAAGGTCATCCTAGATGCTTACAACAGACATCAGATTCCTCAAGATATGGCCAAAAAATTGGTACATTACCCTCAATATCACTTCAAACTTTACTTTTCTGTAACAACAAGAAAGTCCAGTGTGTAACATTTAGGAGGATCTATTGGCAGATATTGAATATAATATTCATAGGTATGTTTTTATTAGTCTATAATCACGTGGATATGGGAATTGTTGTGTTTTTGTTACCTTAGAATGAGCTCTTATGCGCCCACCGTAGTTTCTCCTACACACTTTACAGCCACCAGTGTTCAGTTTGTTGCAATCTGCTAGATGCCACTAAATCCTACACACTGGTACTATTGGTACCATGTACAGTATTATTTTAATTATCGACGTTAAAAGATCCAACAGATGAGTTCTTTAAAACTGGCGAGTGCAGCTTATATACACTGAGCCAGTACAAAAAGATGCCCCACTCGGACCATGTACCTAAATTTCCAACACTAAAGTTCACATGATGACATGCTTTGGCCTCTGATGCTACAATAGCTAGTAAATGTAGTAAAACATACTGCTGGTGGAGTTAATGCAGCTTGTATTACTTGTATTTACTTGTTGTTTCCAGCTGCAAGACCAATACAGTGCAGAGGAAAACTTCCTCTTATTGACGGAAATGGCAACAAGTCAAGTTCAAGTTCTGGTGGAGTTTACAAAAAATATTCCAGGTATTGTTTCTTCTTTTGCAAATCTTATAGAATATAGACAGGAAATAGAGATAGTAGCATACCACGCTGAGACCATGATATCAGTGCAAATACAAATACAAAAAACTAAATTGTCCCAGTGTTCTTTGCTGTATGTAACGAGCGGTTTGATGCCTCTGGCAGGGTTTCTCTCTCTGGATCGTGAGGATCAGATCGCTCTGCTGAAGGGTTCAGCTGTGGAAGCCATGTTTCTGCGCTCAGCGCAGGTTTTGAGCAAGAAGATGCCCAACGGACACACAGAGGTTTTGGAGGAGAGAATACGCAAGAGTGGTGAGTCAACATGAAGTGATGAATAAAAATGTAAGGCACAGTCTGATAGAACATACTGCATGGTACTCAAAGTGCTCAGCTACACTAATCCATGTAGTTATAGTAAAAATATTGGCCTCTTAAACTCTAATCACCCAAAATAATCCATGTAATTGTGTCTAAAAGTGTGGAACTAGAATATCTTAACACATAATTCATGACCTTCAGAAGTCTTGATCTGTTGCTCCACCAGCAGCATCATGACATTTGTAGTTCCAACTGCAGCCAAGCAGTCCGGTCTAGTCAGATCCTCCTTTAATAATTGATCTGCCTGATCTGTGTGTGATGCAGCTAGGCGATGTGTGCTGACCTGTTGATCTCTCGCTGGGTGTAGGTTACACATGCACACAAACCCTCACTGGGTACAGTTTCACTCTGTTTAAGGCATGTGTGTGGGCATGCTGACAAGTAAAGGGGAGCAAACCCAGTTCTTTAGGGGGCATTGAGTTTGATTTATTAAAACATACATACCGGTATTTAAGTTGTTTCTACCATGGAATGGTTTTCCTCACGAATACTGTTTTTGCAGTCTCTCTATTTACAAATATATCCCATATTAAACAGTTTCCTGCTTGATGGCTTTGAAAAAAATCATCTATATGTATGTGAGGTGTCATTATGTCAACCAGGTTGGACAGTTAGATAGACAGCAGCAGTGATGGCAGGAGTGTGTGTGAGTCACTGGGTCCCTCAGCGGAGCTCTGGTGTGAATGGTGGGGATAAGAGATATTCACACTAAAGGCCAGTCTGGGAAAATAAGGGAGCAAAGCTGTCTGAAGAGACTATTGTTCCTTATCAAAACATCAAGAGTGCTATTGTCCACTTCTCTCCCTCTGAGCCCCACTGGCATTTCTGAATGCTTGATGATGTGTCCGAGCAGACAGACACCCTCTGCTAGTTTGAGGAGCGTCGAGAGTAGGAACTGTTGTGCAAGAACAAACTGAACACAAACATTTTAAATTATATAGAGAGCAGTTTGTAACAACCTTTTACCTAAAGAAAGAAAAGCAGAGAAGTTTATTTGTTATATGTTAAAGGAGTTTTACCAGGAAACATGATCAAAATACTTCAGCTGCAATATTCTTGTACAATAATGTACATTATAACACTAATCCAAGCCCTAATTTTACAGTTATGACTACTTGTCACAGTTATAAATTTTACAGTTACAAATGACTTTTAACTCATTCAAATCCACTTCTTTCTTCCCTTTGACTTAGTATTTTGCATTCATTTAGATACACATGGTTGTCTCTGAATATAATTCTGGCATGTATTGTCACCACAACCTAATTATGAAAACAATTTATTCATATACACATGCCATTTCTATGAGACTGTATTGTAAATATAATGTACAGTTCATTTCATGAATTCAATTCATAAACATGGTGAAGAATATTTCTCTGAGTTCTTTCTATCTGCCCTTTGATATTTTCCTCTTACATGTATTCCTACTCTTCCTCCTCCTTCCTCTTCTTCTCCAGTTTATCCATAATACTGTCCTCAGTACAGTACAACACTGCACACCTTTGACCCTCAGTTAGTGTTTGAACTGTTGAGCAATCAGCCTGGCAATCTATTAATTATAGTTTTATTTATTGTGCCTGACAGCCTTTCAAATCTGAACACAGCATTTCTCTTTTATCCATGTAAACAAAATATATACACAGTAAAACATAAAAGGCAAGTACAGTATATTAGCCGTATTTTCACATTATTGATTTTTATTTTGACATTTATTGGCAATTAAAAGTACTGTAGAAGACTTACACAAATAGTACTGTTTCAATGATAGGGGTACAGAAATGCTCAGAAATGTATCCTGTCTGCAAGACACAGAGAGCAAGAGTTTATTGTCTTGGTGATTGTATAGGTGAACAATAATGCAGATTAGTGAGGACTGTTGAATAACTCAATGGCTCAAAGTGCAGATTCTTATGCAAGACAAGCTCTTCCTTCTGTGTTGTTCTATACATCCATTTTACCAGATAAAATTATACTTGTTCTTAGCAGTGTTCTGACTGTTGTGCACCACCTATGACCAGAGGTGGCAAAAGTACACACATCCTTTACTCAAGTAGAAGTACAAATAGCACAGAAGGCTCTCTGTACTGATTCACTGAACTTCTTTGCTCAGAAAAAAGTGGAGTAAAAGATACTGTGGTCTCCGAAGGACACTTTTGTGCAGTTACATCTGTCATGCGTGATATGCACCGAAAAAAATATATAATACAGATACCAGAAAGTACTATAACAAAATTTGTACTTCCCACCTTTGCCTTTGACACAGTTTTTGCTCCATTGTGCATCAGATAGTTCACATGAGGTGCTGCACTATACAGACTAACATCATCTGCATACAGGAACAGATCACTTCTTATTTTGAAAGGTAATCGTGTGAGAAACTCAGTTTACAGTGTTCAGGTGTAATCTTATCAGATATCAGAAAGATTTCTAGTAAATATACATCTAAAAAAATAGATTGCTATTTATCTGGGAGATGACAATTTAAAACTGTAATATTTAACCTCAACGGGTAGATAAGAACAACTGTTACCCTTAAAGTTTTATTCCACTTATCTATTTTTAAATAGACTAGGGCATTGTTAGTATGGTACTTTGTATGTTCTGAAACAACTCAACAAACCAAGACAGCTCATTATATTGTTCATGTTATCACTGATCCAAGGTCTGTTCTTGACTTCAAGGTAAGCTTGCTGGTGCCCATTCACTGTTGATATTTCCTAAAGACTGAACCTATCTTTTTCTGCAGGTATATCAGAGGAATTCATCACACCCATGTTCAACTTTTACAAAAGCATTGGTGAACTCCACATGATGCAGGAGGAACAGGCTCTCCTCACCACCATAACCATCCTGACACCAGGTGAGCCAGTCTCAACAGCTTCCTATGACCCACAAGTATTTTGTGTGGATATTCTGAAAGGCTAATGTATCTTCATGGTTCCTTCCACTCCAGATCGACCTTATGTGAAGGATCAGCAGGCTGTTGAGAGACTTCAGGAGACCATACTGGACGTGCTGAGAAAGCTGTGCGTCCTGCAGCATCCACAGGAGCCACAGTACTTTGCTCGTCTCCTGGGCCGTCTGACGGAGCTGAGAACGCTCAGCCACTACCACGCGGAGATGCTCACATCCTGGAGAGTGAACGACCACAAATTTACCCCGCTGCTCTGTGAGATTTGGGATGTGCAGTGACACACCAGAGGTGAAGAGAGTGGAAAGATATGGATGATAATATGGACATTTCAGCTTGCAAGGCAAAGTCATGGTTCAACTGTATATTTATATTGGATGATTTGACAATTTGAAATTAAATCCCTGCACAAAATGTTTGCCTCTGTGTGACCTTGTTAGTTGTGTATTGACTCGGTGAATGGTTTAGAGTATTGTCTGTGTTTATTCTGCTCATGGAGTTTTTTATGACTCACATCATGTTTATTTACTGTGTGATTCTTGAGATTGTCTCATTGTTGAGACATTTGAAATAGCTTATTTTTTATTGTCCCATATTGTCCCAACGTGAACACTGGAAATTATCCAAAGCAAAGATGGTGCTCATTAGAAGTGTAAAGTTTAGATTACATTGATTTTAATAATAGGTTCATTTATTTTTTATTTGTAAAACAAATAGTGCTCATTGTAAATACTCAAATGTTGTATGTTCTGCCTCAATAAATAACAAGATTAAGAGAAAAAAGGATGTTTGATCATTTCTTATTTTTATACCTGTAGTCAGCAAAGAGGAAGCTAGTACACACTAAAATAAACTAAACTGAAACATGTTCAAGTCAATTATAAAAAATATCGAATAAATATTAAAATATGAATGTCTATTAATGTCTGGGTTTTCCTGATGGAATAGAGAGCTTCATTGTACAACCTGCAACAACAGAAACAACTATTTTTATGTCTTGTTTCTAACTAAGTTTAACCATCTGCTAGTGTTTAATTTCAGCTGAGTAACAGAACAAATACGACCCCAAGATACCAACCGAAATACTGTTATTGTTTATTTGTTTTTTGCATGTTTGGCCCATTTTCTGTAATTAAAGAATATTTAACATTTCTCTTCCATCCATTTTAATGTACACCATTACAGTTGATAATTTGTTTGAATTTTGAATGTTTGGTTCCTCCATTTTCCCTTTTGGTAAAGCTGTTTCCTTCTTTCCTCTTTTTTCTTGTATACTGCTATTACTGCTGTAGTTGTTGCACTACAATGGATCTGTAGCAGAAGTTTTAGTAGTTGCAGCAGCACCACCACCACCTGGAGTCGCAGTAGTACTAATGAGGTTTAAGGTTACTTTATTTGTACCCATAGGTAGATTCGGTTCGCAGTAAAAGACAAGGCATTCATTAGAGTAATGAAGATGTCATCAGTTACCCCACACTTCGGTGCAGACAATATAAACTTAACAGGCAGTAAATCTAGCTTGTACTCAGTGCAACACATTGTGTCACCCTTGAGCAAGGCACCAAACCCCTGACTGCTCCCAGGGCGCTTCTACCTGGCAGCCCATCACTCCACCATCTCTCCACATTTCCATCTCTATAAGGCCTGTGTGTGATTGTATTTCAGTCCAATATGTGCAAAAAAAGAACTCCCCATTTGGGATTATTAAAGTAAATGTTCTGCTTCTTCTTCTAGCATTTGACTTATAGAAGAAATACAAACATTAATTCATTCAAGTGTATGAATTTATTTTCATTAAATGCACATGAAACATAAAAACAGATACAGATATATATCCACAATATAAAAGTTCCATAACATGACCATGATGTATCTCTAAATCTCATTTTTACAGTAAGTAAATGTTAATAAACTATACATCATTTACATAATTATCCTTGCCATGCAATAATCATTTTTACATGTAAAAAATGCTTTTTAAAACTTCTAAACAATTTTAAAAGTAATCTGTGAACCAAGAGAGAAGAAAGAAAAAGAAGTTTGCGATGTCTTATAGCGAATTACACTTTAAGGACAAAAATAGTTGGTGTCCATAATTGTATCACAGCACCATCTTGTGGAGTAATTTGGCAAGAAACGTTATCCCTATTATTATTTACTGTAAAAAAAAATAAACAAAAAGAAAACAAACAAAGCATGTACAAGTACATGTACGTACACTATACTGACCACAGCTTTTTTTTTTTTTTACTTTTTGGCTTTTAAAGGACACCATTAAGATATTTAGAGATGAGTTCTGTCCTGTGTGGTGGGAGGTGGGAGTTTTTCTGCATCAGGATAAACCAGGAAGCCAGAAAACGTGGTGTACCTCCCCTGGTTGCTGTAGACAGCATAACGCTCATCCTGCTGACTGTACAGCCACACACTGTCGCCCTGGCGGAGAGACAGCAGCAAGCTCTGACTCTGCATCTCCCGTCTCTTCGACGTGTCCTCATCAAACACCATCGCTTGCACCTCACCCTTCCCGGTCATCAACTTCACAGACACAGCCTTGCGGGGGTGTTTCCCCACAGTGAAGGCAAAGAAGTATGCACCCGGGAAGTGGCACGTGAACAAGCCTGAGGTTTTGTTGAAATGCCCTCCGATGTTGACATATTCCACATCAAAGGTCAGAGGTGGCTTGTCCTGCTGCCTGCTACTCTGACCCATGAGTGTGGATGTCCGTGCCACCGAGAAGGCAGACTGTGGCGGCTCTGATGTCTGATCTCTGGCCCAGGAGTCAGCCTGAGGGGGGCAGTTTGGGTAGGACAGGCCTGATGGGGACAGGTGGTTGGTGATGTAGCTGGTTGGGGAGATGTCAGGATAGACGAGGTAACCGGAGAAGGTGATGTAAGGGCCAGCATTGCTGTACAAAGCATACTGGGGACTCTGTTGTAAAAGCAGCCACACTGTGTCCATCTCCTTCAAACTGATCATTATGCTTTGGCTTTGAACTTTCCTCCCTTTTTTGCGGTAGTCATCATACGCTATCGCCTGCACCTCCTCTCCATTCTTCACCAGTATCACAGAAAGCATTTTCTTTGGAAATTTCCCCACGGAGAAGGAGAAATAGTAAGCCCCGGGGATGCGGCAGCGGAAGTGACCACTGTCCGGATTGAAGTCCCCTCCAATGTTGACCATGAGCCGGTTGAAGGTCACTGCTTTCTGATTGCCTCCCACTACATTGTTGGTTCGGGTGGCAGAAAAAGCAGAGCGGAGACCCGTCGTCACTGGAGGAGCATGAATGGGGGAAACTGGTCCAGAGCATGCGATCATGATGAATACACATGCCAGGAAGAAATGTGTGCTCCGCTGAGCTAAAAGAGAAAATTACAAGAAATTACCTTTACATTTATAAATGTAAAGTCACTTAAAGTATTAGTCTGCGTTCACACTGAAAGCCTTAGCGCTCAATTCTAATTTATTGCTTATTTTATTCTCATTATTTTTAATGTAGCCTATATCAGATTCCAGTGTTATAGTACAGAGGTGACCTGTATGACAAATGTCAGTCTAGAGTGACGTAAAAGTCACATGAATTCTGATGTGAGAAGTGTAAACGTTGCCTTAGTGAGTTAGATATTTGAGATGTTTTTACTGTAAAAAATAAAATGCAGTTCCAAACCTGGTGGTCACCAGATGATTAAAGAATAAATTGCTGTGATGAGATGATTAGGTGAGATTAATACTGTCCATTAAATAGAGAGCAGTATCAATCTTCTCATCCAACTTTCCCCCCTAGGAAGCAAATAGTATTTTTCTAAATATGGAAATTTTGCTTTAAAGGGATAAGAAATAAATAAAAGTCTGTTATAGAAAATTTTATTTTCTTGTAAAGTACTATATATTTTAAGACTTTTTAAAACAACTCACTGTTGAAATACATGAACTTCTAAAACCTTATTTGCTGTGATGAAGGGGTTACAAGTAAACATGGCTTCATTTTTACTGTCAGTATCAAAGTAAAAGATTCAGATTCAGTCTTTCTGTATCAAACTAAGCGTAATCCATAATGCCTGTTGTCTATATAAAATACTGCAAGTTAATAAGGAAGTCTGGCTGTCGAGATTGGTCTTGCCACTCAAATCAAGCACTCTAATGTGGCTGATATTGTCTGTTCTCTCTGTGCACTGAGAGAAGGGACTAGATTAGGTGCTGGTTCATCTGTTCCTGTGTGTGTTAAACAATGGAAATTTTTTGGAGGGTTGGTGAGGTGAGGCAGGGTAGAACGCTAAAAGACACCACTGCCAAGTGTCAATGAGACATTACTTTGAAGCGGAAAGTGGATAAATTGCAAGACATTAGTTATTATTATTCATGGAAATTGTTTTTCAAATTTTTTTAAGGGATTTGTTTATGTTGCAAAAGATCCATTCTACGTTTCCATATATTAGAAATCTATACAATATTTTAAAATGTTTGCATACACATACAGATATAGATCAATTTAAAATCCCTCAAGGTCAGATTGGTCTGAATATCTTCCATAATCCAGACTAGATTTAACACCTGTTTCCTCTGTTGCCTGTAATATACATATTATATATACATCTATATATACATATAACACTCATGATAGATCTTAAGCCCTAAACTGTGGTCGAAATGCCAAAGTCAGTGTTTAAATAAAGTTTTCAAATGTTTTAACATTTCAAAACAGTCTGCAGTGTGCTCTTTTTGAGTAGAATTTATGTTCTAAGTATTGTTCTAACAATACTGTAAAATTAAGTGTGAATACAATGAACAAGATCAGACAATCGCCTATATAACAACAATCTCTATAGTGTCTGGAGATGAAATTGAACATACTCCTGTCAAAACAAATAAAAACAGATTCTATGTAGATTTCTTATTAAGCTTCTGTTTTTACATACAAAAGCGTAACCAGTTACAGAAATATCAAACCCACCTGCTGGGCTACGTTGAGAAAGAAATTGCATGCTGGATGTCTTCTTCTTAGTCAGCTTTTAATAAAACAATAAAGTTCCTCTTAGTTTGCTGCAGTGCTAATGTTCATGTCTGACATGGCCTGACACCAAAAGGAACAATGCTTTTTGTCCATGTAGATATGTCAGGAGGAGGAGCCCCGAACGCCCTCCAATCTATCGCTCCCGTTAAGGCTGCAGAGGGGAAATGCAGCTGTACTATACAGCCTTATTGGCCCAAAAGGAAAGTTACGTCTAACTCAGGCTTTGTTTTGTCTAAATCAGGTGGAGTTATTGTGGGACACAAAGTCAATTTTCTTAGAAAAGTGCACAAGGAAAATGAATGAAATTGCTAAATAACACACTGCCATGTAATTCTGCTTATGAGGTGCTGTAATGCATTAACTACTTTTTTTATTATTATTATTAAATACTATTACCACTACTCATTACTATTATACTACTATAACATAAATATTGGCTGTAAAATAATATTAAGAATCTTAATAAAGAAAAAGAACTTTCTCACTCGTCTTTCCCAAATGTTTGATGATGTGTGTCTTAACTGGTTGGAGCCAGTTAGTTAATAATAATATTAGTTTCCCCAGTGACTAGTAGTGTAACTCATTACTAATACATGTCAGTTATAATATTACAGTAACTACTCAGTTACTAATTGTGGAGGAAACTGGTTTGGAAGATGATAACACTTAATATATTCTATTACTTTGATTTTAACCAACAAAGTAAGTCTGAAAGTAAGAAAGGACACAAGTAATATAACTAGTAGTGGTTAAATATACATCTGTTGATGCACTTAGACACATCATCAGTGATGGAACCTGGGGTCATTGGGTGTTTCGGGTCTTTCAACATCATACACCCTCACCCAGGCGACCAAGCCGGGATTGATCAAGTCCCGACTTGTGTCTAAGTAACATGTACCCATGGATCACCCCTCTTGATCCACAGCCATCTACAGTGTAACTAATTACTGTCCACAGGGAGTTAGAAGTAAAGTAATAATATTACTTTTGAAAAGAGTAATGAGTAATAAATGACACTGAGTGAACTAGCCCAACACAGGTGAGTCATACAAAACCCACATAGTTTTATTTTTAATGTGTCCATGTAGCTTCTGGATACAACTTTACATTCAATATGCTAAATTAAAACATGACTACTGTCAATATCGTTTTCCTAAAATCTGTAAATGTGTCTTTGTCCCACACAGCATCTTAAATAGCACAAATGTGTTTGTACCAATATCACAAAATCCAAATATGTCACTCTATTTCTTTAATTTGGTTTGTTTGGTAAATTAAATGTATGATGTTAAAGGACCAGTGTGTAGGATATAGAGGCATCTAGAGGTGCAGATTGCAACTCACTGAACACTGCTCGTATCTGTATCTGATGACCTGTGAATGAGAGCGGGCTGTAAAGTGTAGGACAAATCCATGGAAGGCGACCCGCGGCATCTGTAGGTAAAAACAGCTCCGTTCTAATGTAACAAAAACAAAAACATAATGATTCCTGTATTCAGGTGATTACACACTAATAAAAAACACACCTATGAATACTATATTCCTATTTCTGCAAATAGACCCTCCTAAATGTTACACACTGCACCTTTAAGATAAGATAAGATGAGATATTCCTTTATTTATCCCCTTAGGAGAAATTCAGGTTTATATTTAATTTCCACTTTAGAAGTTTAGTTTTAGTTTTTTAGTTTTAGTCAAGTTTAATTTTCTGCTCATATTTTGCACTCCATGTCCTACTTGAACAATGCATAGTGTATATACTTTCATTTATAGTTTTATATCTTCTATTATATTTTGTATTTTGTAAT